AGAATCAACTTAAGATACTGTGGTGGAGCAATTGGGATGTATGCGGCACACCCTGATAAACTCATATGAGAAATGTTAGGTTTCTCATCAAAACCATTTGTAAAAAGGGAGAACTTATGATAACTTGTTGGTTAGATGTGAACCAATACTATCACTTGCTAGCTACCATGTCCTCGACAAGAGACCAGAAGCCTCAGTTTGTTCTCTCAAGCAAAGTGATGTTTGGTTGGATAACCATAAAAATGTATCATAGTGAGGCAATCACTCTCGCAAACATCAGGTTGTGATTAGATAAAATAAAAGTGATCATTCATTTGTTGCAGCAACCCATAAAATTCACAAATGATCCACATGACTGATGTATTGTTCTGCATACACGTCCATAAAATCTCAAGAGATTTGCCAACTCTTAGTCAAGCGATGATCAATTGTTATATTCTCCTTGAGAACAAGCAGGACATAATAACTCTTTTAGTTGAAGAGTTCTTTGACTTCTCCTATGATGTTCTCTTGAATACTCAAAGAACTTTTTCACATCAAGATCCGGGATGGTCTAACCGGACCAACCAATTATCAAGTTATCAAATCTTGTAAACTTCTGGTTTACACTTTTATGTGTATTGATTGTACTAATATACATGTAGTACATATTTGTGATGCAAATATTAGTTTCACTATTTTCTTGATAAGATATTCATTTTGCAAATATCCTTTTAATTGGGTAATGCATCATCACTAGGTAGTCTGGTTCCTTCATGCCATAAAATTAGCTCTTTTAAAGCTTTACCATATTTTGTACCATGTTCCACCCTTCCGGGGACTTATGATTTGATGCATTCTTAGTAAACACAAATTCATAGTGAATATCATCTCAAATTGTTATCACGAGTACATAATTTAGTTACTTCACGTAACCAAACATAAGCTCTTCGAAAGCTTTTCCTTATTTATGACTCTACCATATAGTTTATATGGATAGCACACATACTTTACAAAATCATACTAAAAATAATAAATGAGAATAGTTCAAACTTAAGACAAAAATGATGGATTTATCAAGTTAATTTTTCTAGATAAAAGATATCAAATTAAACTATGTATGAAAAAATAACGTCACAATAAAACATAAAAGAAAATAAGAATCATAATACTACAGTTGTGAAAATTAAATAAGCTTTATTTTGAGCAATATCATTACTAACTAGGTGATTTTGAATTTATATATGCGTTCCATTATGCATTTCAATGTACAACGGGTACATTATGTTATCATGACTTTGATAATGCAATTGTTATGTCATCCTTATTTATAATTCTCCTTTTTCTCCTCTTTTCTCACTTCTGGTGAAAAGATCCAAACAATACATTTAACATATATATAATCATGTTTATAGATCCATTCACTTCGGGGAATAGATTGTTTCATTCACTTCTAGGAATGAAAATGTCTCAAGTGCAATATCATTTTCATCTTTAATGGAGAATATACTAACATATCATACAAAAAATATGTTCCATAATATTGATATTGCAGGAGCGTATATGAATTTGCTCTTCCCTTTGATTCTTGGTAGAATAAAGTCTTATGCGTACAACGGGTACGAGATAAGCACACTTTTCCATTACAATGGTAACATACATAACAAATATTCTTGTTACCATGTCCACTTCTTTCTTTGCCCTTATATTCTTCAATTTCCACTTCTCGGGAATGTATGGGCTCTTGGAACTTGCATTTTCTAAATATCAATGTATGATTGATAAGAATAGGATAACACAGAGAACTGAGAAATTAACTCATCATTTATATTACTTTTCTTGTTAATCCAAATATATGTACGTGATAAAATATCAATGGATGGTCTACTACGAGAAAAGAGTTGCACCCATCTTGATATATTGGAATGAGATAATCTCAACACAAATAAGACAAAAAGATAAGAAAGGATATAAGATTTACATACCTTGATCATATTGTGATCTTACTCTAATATATTAGTCTATGTCGAGAGTCTTTGAGCAATGATAATTTTGGCAGAGTTTCGTGCTGATAACGTATTATTAAACTAATAAAAAATATAAACAAATACAAGAGAAGATTAGAGAGGGAAAGACACAAGAGAAGAGAGGGGAAGAGTTATTCTTATTCATTCTTCACTTTTGATACATTAATATGCTCTATTTATAGGCACCCTTTGGTAACCACTACATCCTTATATCAATGCATATGAATGAGAGATAATAATAATAATGTAGGAATAGGGGTTACATGTAACTCTCAAGTGAGCATCTAATGTGGTAGGTCATTGGGAGCGGATACTATAACAACACCTCCTTTGTTGTTATAGTAACAACAAGGGTAAAAGGGTCCATTAACACAATATCTAACAAATAAAAAAAATAATATTTTACTTATTTCCTTCCTCGCGTATATCGCTCCTCCTCACATACTCCCCCGACGCCGCGCCGCCCAATCTGAACCTTCTGACCACTCCACGTCGCTCGCAGGAACAGCAAGCGCTTCGCCTGTGGATCGCGACAGCGGCGTTGCTGAACGTGGAAGGCCTGGCGTTATTTCCTCACCGGCATCGCCAGTCTTTGAAGGCGAAAGAGAAGCAATGATTCGTCGGTCCCGTTGTACAGAGCAAGCGTCTCTGCAGTGAAGAGTCTCTGGCGAATTGGCAACAGCAAAATTAAACCGCCAAGTCAAGCAGAAACGGAAGTTGAGGAACGGGAGGAAATGAAGAAGAAGAAATGGCGATGGTGGCGGGAAGCTACCTGGTGTCGCTGCAGAAGCGAATTGAAGTTGAAGGAGGAGAAAGTGGAACCGAGATTGAGTTGCAGCGGGGAATTGAAGAAAAGAGCGGCAGTTAACGTGCCGAGAATAGCGATTCCCACAAACGGCCCAATTCTCTTTTGGCTTGGAGCCTTCCTTTTCCTCCACTGGCCGTTTCTTTCCTTCCTTCCTTTCTTCACAGTAGTGTCGAAAACCCTAGCAATGGTTTCAGATCTGGCTGCGTTTCACTCGACAGCCATGTTGGAGATCATCATCGCAAGTTGGTAAAGGGTGCTTCAAGTTCATCGCCATATGTTAATATATATGCCCTCACTGCAGGTATATATGTATGTATGGGAATTTCTGGGGAGGAGATGGAGAAATTTGACAGAAGAGAGTGAGCACAGAGGCATCTTGTTACAATAACTAGTTATTAGTCAATTAAAACAATTATGATTCCCCCTGTCTAGCTAGTATTGGATTTTACTAACTACGGTACCAATTGCAGGATTCTTGTTGAATAATATTGAATCAATCTCCCTCTCAGATGAAATCCCTCCCTGGAAAATTAACGAGTTGACTTGGAACAGTCCTGGAGAGCCTGACTTGGAACAGTCCTGTAATGGCTGCTGCAGCTTTCATAGTCTTTACTTTTCGAGTACATAAGCAAAGGGGGCTAGCAGTAGGAAAGCAAATATTTCTAACACCAAAAACTCCCTCGTGCAAATCACAAACGCAATAAAACAACCCACAAAAAATATACCGTTAATCTCCTAATGCAAACCACAAATTCGTTAAAACATATCATAAACCCCACAAAACAAACCATAAATATTTTGAAAATCCCACCAGAAACCCCCTAATGCAAACCAAAAACACGGTAAAGCAAACACAAACACGGTAAAACAAACCAAAAACATCCTAATGCAGACCACAAATATATCAAAACAAACTAAAAACCTCGCAAAGCAAACCACAAAAATTTCGAAATCACACCAGAAACTTCGTAATGCAAACCAGAAACCTCCTAATGCATACTACAAATCTCCTAAAACAAACCACAAACCCCACAATGCAAACCACAACATTTGCGAAAGCACACCAGAAACCTCATAATGCAAACCACAAACACAGTAAATCAAACCACAAAAAGCAAACCATAAACGTCATAATGCAAACCACAAATATATTAAAACAAACCAGAAACCTCACAATGCAAACCACAAAGTTTTTGAAAACAAACCAGAAACTTTTCAATGCAAACCACAAACACAATAAAACAAACCATAAAAGGCATAAAAAAATATGAGAAACCAAACCATAAATCTCACAATGCTAACCATAACATCCGGTGGTCGTTGACCGTTGACCGGTCAACGAAGACCGTTGACCGGTCAACGAAGTTCGTTGACCGAACTCCGATGACCGTCAGTGAGCAGATTCCGACGCCGATAGGCATATTCCGGCCCCGGTGACTAGATTCCGACGCCGGTAAGCATATTCCGACGCCGGTAAGCATATTCCGACTCCGATAAGCATATTCCGGCCACAAAATAGCATATTCCGGCGACAAAAAGCATATTCCGGTGACCGGCGACTATTTTCCGGCGACCGGTGGCAGAATTCCGACGACCAAATTTTTGGGCAGAAAATAAAAAAATATTTTTTAAAATTTTTTATTTTTTATTTTTATTTTTTTTATTTAAATAGATTTTTCATAAAGACAATTATACCCCTGCTTTGATTTTACACTAGGTCAACTCATCTAATAAAAAGTCATCACAATCCTAGCTTCCTATTGGTTGGGGACTAGTGTTGTTACAATAACAACACAATGGGTGTTGTTACAATAACCGGTCCCTAGGTCATTGGTCATCCGTATATCAATATTTACATAATATTAGTCTCATTTTAAGTGTGTCAATCTTTTTGTCCAAGTCACTATAATTTGAAAGGCACCATGAATATACCATTCAAATAAAAAACTAGAATGGCTGGATAAATAAAAATGAAGAGTTTATCATAGGATTAAGTATCATACATATATAAATCATGTATCAATTATTTCGGGTCACAGATAATGATCGTAGGATTAAGTAACTGGTTTTCTTGAAATAGTCAAAAGATGATAGTACATACTACTTACATTGCACATATATCTTGATAATATTGATTTGATTAATTAGTGACGATAATAAAATCAACCCAAGTTGTCAGGCTCGCTCAACGACAAAAACAAATTTTGATTTGGGATTGGGGGAGAAGAAGAAGCCTTGTTGGCGTTCTCTTGGAAAAAGCTAGCTGTGCTGGCTGTTGCTGTGGCTGGCTACTTGCTGCTGCTGAAGCTAAAACCAAAACCCCTCTCCACTGCAGTCCAAAAAGCCTGTCTAATTCATTACTGCATATTGTTTTGATTTTTCTCGAAAATTCCAAACCCACAAACTATCAAAGGAAAGGAAAATCCTTTCTGTGAAATTTCTCTCAATCTGGGTTCAGGGAAGCCTGCAAAACCCCTAAAAGCAGCAGGCTGCAATAGTGGCTCTTACCTACTGATCATTGATTAATGTATGAGTGAGAATCATGTGAGTTGAGTTGAAGACCAAAGGAGGAACCGGGGAAGTAAAAGAGAGAGAGAGAGAGCTAACTGGTTGGTTGGTTGTAGTAAATTCGTCGGCCAGCAAATCTAAAGAGAGCGATCTGAACTTTTGGTGCTTCTTCTTCTCTGTAAAAGAGAGTTACGTTTTTTCTGTGGCTGCAATTTTTGTTTTTGTGTTTTCCTCCTCCTCCTCCTCTGGTGTCATCAAAATGGCGGCGAGTGCGTCGAGGTTCATCAAATGTGTCACAGTTGGTGATGGGGCTGTGGGGAAGACCTGTATGCTCATCTGCTACACTAGCAACAAGTTCCCAACGGTATCATTTCATCATAACTCTGATTCCTATGTCTTTGGACTTGATCTTCAGTTGGTTTTCATTAGATGTAAAACTATTGAATCTCTTTCCCCGTTTTCCCTTCAGACCAAAGTTCCCTTCTTTCTTGCTTTCCAAATGAAACTTGCATTTAGGCATCGATCTCCAGTTGAAAAGTTAACGTTGTTGGCTTTGGTTTTTCCTGGGCAGGATTACATACCCACAGTGTTCGACAATTTCAGTGCCAACGTTGTAGTAGAAGGAACCACTGTCAATTTAGGCCTCTGGGATACAGCTGGTAAACTTTGTTTTGTGTCCTTCCTTACATTTTGTGTTCTTTCTCATCAGATTAAACCCTTTTCCAAATTCTCTTTGCCCACCTTTTCTTGAATTCCAACGTACCGTAACAGGTCAGGAAGATTACAATAGATTAAGGCCATTAAGCTATAGAGGCGCAGATGTCTTTGTCTTATCTTTCTCCCTAATTAGCCGGGCCAGCTACGAGAATGTACTTAAGAAGGTGTGATCTTTGACAAATCTCATCATGGATCTATTGCCTTGTTGTCGTTTAGCAATCTGCTAATTTCTGGTGACTGTTTTCCAGTGGATTCCTGAGCTCCAGCATTATGCCCCTGGGATCCCACTGGTGCTGGTTGGTACCAAATTAGGTAAGTCCATTTCCATCTTATTACTGCAAATCAAATTCGATCCTTCCTACTACTGCCTCGTGAGTAGGATATTATAATCCTTACCATTGAGTGTAGCATGCTATCAGATTACATCTTGGTCATACCATATATAGAAATAAGGAGTTTGTGTTACTTGAAATTTAGCAGAAGTTAGCTAGCTCAGTTCTAGACTTTCTTGATGGGGCAGTCTACAGAACCTTTTGTTAGTCCCGGTAGCTCACACCTACACGCCTGCACTTGCAGTATATTGCAACAGCAATCCTTCCCACTTTCTCAACCTGCAATTTCTGGGTTTATACGAAGGAACACTTGTGAAAGAGGATGAAATGAAAAGTTTTGATCCGATTGTTCTGTGAAATAGAAACTCAAGGTTGTTTAAAAAAAAAAAAACGGGCATCTCTGTGATTAGTGCTATAATCACACAAGGTAGCTGAAGTGAAACACTCAGCTTTATCATACTACCGATGCCTGATTAGTTGTTGATAACGTGTAGATCTTCGCGATGATAAGCACTATATTGCTCATCACCCTGGGCTGATACCTGTAACCACTGAACAGGTGTGCAGTATCTTTACACAAGCTATTTCGAATTGATTTTATTTTCATTCAGTTGACCAACGCTGTTCTTAGGCAATAACACACTCTCTCTCCCTTTCCCATCCATATAACCAGGGAGAGGAACTCCGGAAGCTGGTTGGCGCAGCATACTACATCGAGTGCAGCTCCAAAACTCAGCAGGTAATAGTTATTATAGTATCATTCATGTCGTAAGAAATAAGCCACATCTTTGCATTGGGTAATGGGTACCTAATTCTTCGTTGTGATTTTGCGGGCAGAACGTCAAGGCAGTGTTTGATGCTGCAATCAGAGTGGTGATCAAGCCAGCAACAAAACCGAAAGACGCAAAGAAGAAGAAGAAGCAGCAGCGTCGGGGATGCCTCCTGTTAGTAAAACTGTTTCCCTCCAAAGTTTTTATTAGAGTATAGTTGGAGTCTTCTAATTGACAAGTGGAGCTTTTGCTTATGCAGGAACGTGCTTTGCGGAAGGAAATTGGTCTGCCTGAAATGAAGTCTCTGTTTGAACTTGTTTGTTTTTCTGACCACGGCCACAATGACAACAAACTCATGTATAGATAGCTTCTAAAGATCCCCCCCACACCATTTGGCACTTCACTCCAAGCTTTCGACAGATGGACTGTTTTGTTCTCCTGTTGGTATTTGCTTCAGATAGGTTCTAAGATCGCACATGTCAGAGATCCTAGATCTACACTAATCCTTCTTCCTACTACTGCTTTCAAATGTGTATAAACACTGGGGGAAAAGAAAGGAAATTTTTTGCCATGCCTTTGTTTTCCTTTAATTTGATAGATGCAACGAACCACCAAAACCAACAACGATACATAACAACCTCTACACGTACAACTATTTGCAGTTTTATTCCTATCAACAGGAGCCATCGCAATGCTGGGACGCAAGCATCACTCGGTGTCGATGGAATCACTACTCGCAAGTGACACCACTAACACAAGAATTACGCCCCCTAACTTTCGATCAATCAATTAATCAATCAGGAGAAACTGAAGAACATTTGAACTAACATATTCAGAACACATCTCCAAACCACCAACGAAATTACAAGAAGAAAACGAGAGAATCTCATAAACGAACAGAGTCAGAAAATGTCAACTCGGTGTATATTACTTTCTGTGAGCAGCTGCAGCTGTAACTATCTTTCTCATGGGGGAATTAGAAAGCAAAATGACGGTCAGTCACTGTCAGTCCAACAACACGAGAGCAAGTTTAAAGTACAAGACCGCAGCAGGAATTTCCACTACCAATTCTCATACCATTCTGCTTATTCACAGACTGAATAAGAAAACTACCAGCAAGTTAAAAAAAAATATCTACAAGGGGAGGAAATGCAGCTGCCCAGTACAAATTCCACACTAACAGCGCATATTGTCCCCCGGAAACCTCAGGAAGATATATTGCTTAATAACAGACAATTGGCACACGAGCAGCTGGATTGGAGTTGTAGACTGAACACCACCTTCCTCGCCATCTTTCTTCTTCGAGATTCCAAGTTTAATAGTTGATCTCTCGAATCCAGCTGGCCCAAATAACAGGGAACTGTGCAATTGAACAAAAAGAAAAACAAGAAAGCAACAGGGGGATTCAGTGGCTAATACCAGACAACAAATACAACTTTCAAGCTGAAGATAAAGGCTAGTATTTAACAGCACCTCTCTGACTTCTCTAGCAACCTGCTCTCACTATTGCCATGATGGATGATGCTTGTAGCTATCCCATCCACCATCTGGTTCCTTCCTTTTCAGAATGCCGCCACCTGACACCTGGTGGTACATTCTAGATTGCTGCTCTTCAAAGAGTGCTTGATGAGAGTTGGCCAGAGACAGCTGCTGTTGCCTTGAGGCAGCAAGTGATGATGATGGTGTTTCATCTCTCCCTTCTGTAGTATCAGGACCACCCAAAGGTCCTGCATTTAAGTCTAATCCCTGCCTTCCTCCCCACTTTCTGCTGCTGCTTTCACTGGACATACTACTACTTGCATCTGGAATGCTGACGACATAAGAAGGCCTAGGATGATAGGGTGATGGAAGAACCCCACCACCACCAGGAGCCAAAACCTGTGAATGTACAGCAGGAAAACAAAGTCTTCCACCTGATGCTGAATCGACATATGCTGTAGAACCACCCGAAAATGCAGCTGATGGTAGAGAGAAATTGTTTCCGAAAGAGAAGACTGGGTACTGGAATGTAGCAGATGGATAGGGCACAGCAGGAGAAGATGACAACACTGGTCCTCTATAGACATCTGGAGGACTAAATGTAGTGCTGATCGTGGCAGCAGGAGCAGCTCCTACCATTCTTTGAGGTGCAACTATCGAGAATGGCTGCTGTTCCCCTCCTCTGTCAGGCAACATTGGCTGAATTGTTGCTACACCTGGATAGTTCCCTTGAGGAAACCAAGAGGCAAAATTACCCAGTTCCTTATTGTTGACTCGAAGGGCAGGAATTGCTGACTGAGATACAATGCTGTTATTCCTTACTTTCTGGACAAATAAAGATGATGGCTCAACAGTCCCCACCTCCTCGGCAAGAGGTCCATCATTCAAGTCAATGTCTCGACGCGTGCCTGCATTACCACCACTGAGAAGACCTGCTGCTGATGATGTTTTGACTGTCGGCTGCAAATAAATGTCCAGCCTACGTCCATTGCTAGTCAAGTGATTATTGCTAACATCATCATCATCATCATCATCATCATCATCATCCATTTTATTCAAGTCAAGATCAAGTCCCCCAGAACTCCGAAAAGATACAGAAGCCACTACCGGTTCATCACATGCCCCAACATGATTATTTGCAAGGTCAGGGACAGAGCTCGTAGCCTGATCAGAAACTCGAGAAGCCAAATCTTCAATTACCCTTTCATCAGCCACATTTAGGTCAAAATCAAAGAGAGGACGGCTGGGTTTAGCAGATGAAGAAGCATCAGGAGAAGGGCCAATGGTTGTTATCCCAGCTGCATTAGCATCAACAGTTTTTCTTGGTTCAGCAGGTCGAAATGCACTTGTTGCAGCCGATCCTCTCCAACCAAGTTCCCCTCTATTCTTCAGCAAATCCTCTGGTGGAACAAAAGGACCTTTAGCAGCAGAAGCCACAGTAATTGAAGCAGGGAGACTACTAGAGAGAGAAGCTTGCAAAGGCAACGGACTAATCAATGGAATACAAGCAGAAGTTCTAGCAACTTTTACATTGGATGGATCCATGTACTTAACATCATCGCCATTAAGTCCCTCATTTAGATCAAATACCATTTTTGCTTCATTTTTTGGGCTGCCAGTAACAGCTAACGAAGCATCTGCTGCAGCTGAACAGCTTTCCTCTGTGTCATCAGCTTCAGCACCTTTCTCCCTGGATCCTCTACTACCCGTTCTCTGATTTGATTGTATACCAGATTCATCCTGAGAACCACTTCCCTGGTCATTAGCCCCATGAATTTCAGTTTGCATCTGATCCTCGTCCTTCTTACTAAGCTGATCAGTCTTTGAAATTTCAGGGGAGGGATTTCTGCCTGTAGTTTCATTAACCTCTCCTTCTTTAACTTCCTCTGGACATTTGGTGGAAACCATTTCCTGTGCACCACCAGAAGGATTTAGCACCTGAAAATCAGTTCTCTTACCAGAATCAGAACACATTACTGCAGGTGACTTTTGATCTGCCTGTAGACCAAAGTTCAACACCCCGTTGCTATTTTTCTTGTTCCCCCCCTCAGCCTCAGTGGCAGAATGTGGGGACAAACTTCGGAATCCACCAGCCTTAACTTCTACAGCAGCAAGACTTAACTTAGTTTCGGCAGAAATGGAGCCAAGTGATTTTTCTTTACGTTCAGATGTTGCTTCTGCTGTGACTGTACAACTAGGATCTTGCTTCCATGGTTGTTTGCCTCCATCACCCAATTTATTTTCTGTACCGTTCACAGCAGGCACACCAACAAAAGGTCCTCTTGAGGTTCCATCAGTTTTATCTTCCTTTTCCTTGCCTATCTCTCTAGTTTGCTGGGCGTCGACAGAACAGGAGATTGGATCTTTCTCATGCCCAGCAGAAGCTTTCTCTTGAGGTCCCTCTGTCTTAGTCTCTAATGTCTCAACACCGCTGTCTTTCGTGTCAATTACAACAGCAACATTATCACCTGACTGACAAGTAGCAGTATCACCTGGACATGACTGCAACCTAGAATCAGCAGGTGGATCACACTGCAGAGCCACATCAGGTTTAGACATCTCCCCAGCAGCAACACTAGCAAGCAGGTTCATCCCACCATCATCTGCTCCTGACGTCGATGCACTAGCATCAGAGTACTTGACACAACTTTCAATCAAAGCATTCATGGAGCTAAATGAAGCATCATGTAATCTTCCAGACTTGTTTTCATTGCTAGACGGCAATGATATGGATTTGGAGACTTCTGGCAGCTTCTTGGTATCTTCAGCTGCTCTACTGCTTTCATCATTAGGCCCAGTTGTAGGAGAGCCATCTCCTTCATCTGACCCAGTCAGCACATCTTTGAAATCATTGCTCTGCCATGACTCGGTATTGACATCTGAGCCGACATTAGCATGGCAAGTGTCGTTCTTATCTTTAAAACTGCAATCAAGTTGTTCCTGCTTCTCCGAAAGAGTAGGAGAACAAGATCTATTGAGCACGGCTGAAGGATCTTCGAACGATGCACCACTAGCACTTTGGGCAGGACTGCGCCCTCTGTTAGGAATCTTAACAACAAATCTGTGGTTGTTGGCCTCTGCTGTTGGAAGATCAACAACCTTATCACTTGCGAAACTAGCTTGCAATAACTTTTCAGCACCAGGATTTTTTTGCAAAGGAGAACTTCTACTTATCCCAGTTTCCCGCTGAGCTACCGATCCAGCATGGCTCTGAAAGCCATTGTTCGACTTACGATGCCGTGAACCAGTAGCAACCCTAGTTGGGGTCATAGAACCAGAGCTCCTTGTGTCCTCCTTACCATAAAATCCAACAGTTTTTGCTTGATCACCAGAGACAGTTTGGCTGTTATTGTGTGACTGGCTAGAACTGCTGCTCTTCTCATCTCTAACCATTGTTGGAGAAGCATCAGACCCCCCTGCACTGCCACCATATCTAGCCTGTCCTTCTTTAACTATACCAACCCCCGGTACATGCACTGCGATTAATTTATTGGACCCCGGAGATCCAGATGCTGACCTAGGAATAGCCTCTCCAGGGCCAAGCTTAGTCGGTGCGGCTTTTAAAACAGAAAACTGATTAGTAGAGCTCTTCAATGGCACCTCAGAGACCACACCAGTGTGTCTGCTCCCACCATGAGAAGCATCCGGAAGACGTGATCTAGTAGCCCAAGTGACACCCTGGTTTGACCCAGACTTTGCATCCATTTCAGCCTCCACACGTTTTTTCCAAGTGTCGACTAAACTCTTTGCCTTCTTCTGAATCTCTGTGTTCTTGTGGGAACGGAGTTGATTGACAGACTTTCCAATGTTACACGTTTGTAAAGCATGGAGATCCACAGGGAGTTTTTCAAGAGCACGAAGTAAGACAGAGAGAAACTCTTCTACTGATTTGTCACCATCCTTGGAACTATTACCATCACCAATCTTTCCTTTATGGGCCTCCTGTATCCACTCATCAAAAACAGGTAACCCTCTAAGCTGAACAAACCAATTAAGGCAATCAAACTTATCTGTGGCTGCTACTACACCAGCCATAATAGCCCGGGCAACCAAATCTATCTTCTTCTCATTTCTATCAGGTAACATAAGTT